AGGAACCGTTGGCTTGTATTATAAACTTAACAGGTACAGAGTGTTACAGCAAAGTCTCTGGCAGAGCAACAGAAACAGCAGGCAGAACTAATCCAGGTCAGGAACAGAAGGCTGGTGAGTTCACCGGGAGTCAGGCGGGACGGGTAGCTCAGTTGCAGGAAGGGTCGAAGCGCTGGAAAGTCTGGCATTCAATAGCAAAGAACAATCTGGCAACGAACGTGTTCGTTGGGTTGTAGATCCACTCGGGTCTCAGCAAAAGTTCTCTAAAGCACCGTAGCTTGTAAGTGTCCTGCCGTGCTATGGTGTCTTGTTGCTGCCTTGGTTAGCCACCTCAGGTTTTTCACAACAGTCACGCTAGCCCACTGACCAATCAAGCTGCACGTTAATGCTGACGTACTTGTAGGCCACCCAGAAGCTCTGACACGTCAAAGAATACGCCCAACATGTCAAACTAAAGATCTGATTGGTTGAAGACTATAACAATCAACAATATCGTCCCCATTCACTTCAACTGCAAAGGGATTCACTTGTGAGTCTGCAGGCCTCTGCCTCTGTTGTAACCTAGAGACACAGAGGTGAAATCTGATTGGATAAAAGCTCTACTTAAAACAAGCTGCACTGGAAGCAGAGCAACTGAGGAAGACAGTAGCTCTGCAATGAGATACAAATTATTAAATTATTAAATAGCTATAGCTTTGTAATTCTGTCTGGCCAGCAGAGAAGGCCTTGCTGGCCCTGACAGCCCACCACTGCGTGTTACTGATGTTCCTGATGAATAATGTTCACAACACTATAAACCATTCACAATACATTGTGGTGCTACGGATGGTAACTTTTTCTCTTCTTTCCTGTTGAATAGAGCAAGAAGGTAAGATGAGCTAAAAAAAATAAAAGTCTGACAGCTGGCTAATTACTATCATTCAGTGAGTGAACTGAGTTCATGTCGGATCTCTCCAGTGTTGTTGATGAGGGTGAACTTCAGTTTGTCTGCAGGGCTGAACGGCTTAAAGTCCTTCCACCAGAGGTCAGAAAAAGAATGACGGCTCATACAACCTGGACCTGACATCTGTAAATATAAAGGTCACTGACTTCAGAGCAGAATCATTCAATCATGAACTCATGACAGTAATAATGTATTATTCGTATTTTATTTCATTTATAATGGAACTCCACAACAGTGATGACAGAAAGAAGAAAAAGACAAAAATAACAAGATAAGTTGATAAATGAACACAGACTCACAGTGGCAGTGTCTCCAGACTTCACACTGAAAGATTTCTCAAACGTGAACGAGATGTTTCTTCTGTTGACCTGCATTTCTAACCTCCAGCCTCCCAGATGTTGTTCCTGCAGGAGATCAGGTGATAGAGGAGGAGACAAAGAGAGATGCATTCATGGAGCAGTTGAATCTATTTGGTGTTGATCAATGGTTGGATGTCATTTCCCTCTTTACATGAACAAGAGTAACAGAAGGTTATTATTTTGGTTTGGCTCATTAGAATATCTCTGAATACAGTCAGTTAACATATTGCTGTACATATTCTACACACTCATAAAGTACTACTACATTATTCATACACACACAACATTACCTCGTTGGACGTGTTTGTGAGACGGATATATTTGCCCTGTTGGTCGACACCAATGACAAGAACAGATCCTGAGGCTGAGTTGTGATTGGCTGAGCTGCTGTCCTCCTGATGAGGACTGTGATGCTCCAACACTTCACATCTGTTTGCATGTACCTGATAGAGAGACATAACACACTCATCAGTCATTGTAACACTAATCAACCAGCCAACAGACGGACTGATGGGTGATGATCCTCCACTGTAGATTCATGCAGGAAGCGACGGTGAACTGTTGAACTTCTGAAATACAAGTTGGGTTTAGACTTTTTCTTGATTAACCAAATCTTTCTCGCTTTTTCACAAGAAATTGAAATAACTTCAGGCTGGTCTCATCTAGCGTTCGTAGCTCTACGTACTTGTCACGGGGCATGATGAGGACTCAAGCACAGACAGTCAGGTGTAGTGAAAAAAGGGTTTTAATGAATAACCAAAAACAAACAGGGAATCCAAGGACAAAACAAGAGACGAGGGGGGAAATCCGGCAGGACAAGGTTGATGATGTTGTAAATCATAACCACAGATGATAAAGAGGTATTCATTCATCTGTTAGTGGTCTGTCTCTGAGCTGATGTTCTGTATGAGGTCATACCAGGACTAAAGAGAATCCTGCTCAGTTCATTAAACCACCGTTTGAGGAACATCTTTGTGTTTTGGTCTGAAAAAAGGACTCAAATCATTCTGGTCTCGGGCTTGATTTGGACTTATGAATATAATGTTGTTATTGTGTTTATTTGATATATTTAATGCGTGAAAGATAAAAGAATCAACTGGAGGCTTTCAGAAGGATTAACTAATATAGTCAGAAGAACAAAGCACACATTTGCTGAAGTTTTCAGAGGAACAAACCAACAGATGTCTGGAAACAAAACAATATGCTGATGAAAAGATATACAAAAATATTCATAGGAATCAAATTGAAATGATTAACCATGTTATTCTTGTTCGTCTGAACTTCTTTCTCCGCTTCTTCTCTCCGGTGCTGTTCATGCTGGAGCTGAGTTAGAGACAGAGTCCTTCAGTGAAACACATTCAACAACATGACGACAGTGACGAATACAGAGACTTTAGGAGTTACACGTGCTGTACATCAGACATTTCACAGTCATAATGTTCTGCTTTTAGAAGAGAAATCTTTAGTGTAGAATACAGATACAAACCTCCCTGTTCTTAGTCTCCAGCTCCTCTTTCAGGGTCTGAACCTCCTTCTCAGCTTCCTGCCTCCTCTGCTGCTCCTCCTCTCTCCTCCTCTGCTCCTCCCCTCTCCTCTGCTTCTCCTCTCTCCTCTGCTGCTCCTCCTCTCTCCTCCTCTGCTCCTCCTCTCTCCTCCTCTGCTCCTCCCCTCTCCTCTGCTTCTCCCCTCTCCTCTGCTTCTCCTCTCTCCTCTGCTGCTCCTCCTCTCTCCTCTGCTGCTCCTCCTCTCTCCTCCTCTGCTCCTCCTCTCTCCTCCTCTGCTCCTCCCCTCTCCTCTGCTTCTCCTCTCTCCTCTGCTGCTCCTCCTCTCTCTTCTGCTTCTCCTCCTGAAACGGCCACTTAAGCTGAAAGAGAAGACAGAGGTTAGAGACACAGTGATAGAAATGTTCCTTATTAGGGTCTGTGACTGAACACACCATGATACATATTAAACATATATCATGGTGTGATTGTTGTTGATTTTGTATTTAAGTTTTCTACAGTTGAGAACATTCAGTTGTTCCTGTGTTACAAACTCTGAAGTTCCACAAACTAATCTTAAATGAAATGACTCTGAATGAGGTCAAAGTTGACATCTGTCCTGCAGCAGCTCTTCTGCTGTCAGAGGTTATGAAGATGAATGTCCATCAGGAAACCTCTGAGTGTATCACTTCTACAGCTTCACTTACCACAGAGGTGGAAGGCTGGGCTGCAGCGGCTCTGCTTCTTTCCATCTGTGGAGAAAGAAGAGATGAAGAGAGCCTTCTTCTTTTGTTACACATGTTCTATGGATTATTATCTAAACTATTAAAGTATGCTAATGTTTTTAATACTTTAATCTTAATCTGTGATAAAATAAATATTGAGCACGTGGCTGAATGTCTCAGCATCCAACACCAAGCTAATACCAAAATATTACATCGGTTCAGAAGGCATTATCTGTCCACATCCAATTAACATATCCATATTTGGATAAACCTCGAGTATACTACTTCCTGCTCAAAGCCTAAAAAACAAAGATGTAATACTGAGCTTGGTAGAAACAGTGAACCAGCTCACTCAACGTTCACATATGGACAATGGTTCCATTCAAAAACTGGAGTAAAATTCTCAATACAAACAGCAAAGTTAAGGTAGAAAGATGAACCTCCATGTTGTTGGACTCCTTCAGGGTCTGCAGGTTGGTCTCCATCCTCTGAATCTGATCCTGGAGCTGCTGGACTTCAGCTTCTATGTCTTCAATCTGGGAGGAAAGAGGAAACAGGAGAATATGAGAGACACGTCTGTTATTAATGCATAATTTAGAACATAAAGACCCAGTTTATAAAAAGCACCAACAGCTCTCTTCATGGTGCCTCATTTGGATGAAACCAACAGTTTGTGTTCCTCCACTCTCTGAGCATCAATGTGAGTCTTAATATTGAGAAAGAACAAATAGAAACCTTCTTTATGTTGGTGTTTAATTCCTCCTGTTCAATCTGCAGCGTCTTCTTCAGAGTCTGCACTTCCTTCCTCTTCATCTCATCTTGCTTGCTGACGCCCTGAAACATGTTCAGAATCATTCTGAACATAATATACAAAGACCTATACCACAGATAAATAATCATCTGATTTCTGCTCAGCTCTCCATGTGTTACATATTCTGCATTTAAATGTCTCTCTCCTTTATGAACAATATTTAGAGATGAAGATGAGGACATGAACCTCTCTGATCTTCAGCTTCTCCTTCAGGTTCTGCAGCTCGGCCTCGTTCCTCTTCTTCTCTTCATGGAGCTTCAGCAGCTCAGCTTGTTTAGTTTCTACCTGAAAGGACAGAGAGAAGAAGAAGAGACAACATGAGAGACATGTTCATGTATTCACATTTAAAACTACACTCTGGATTTGGTCTCTCTCCTGTTTAGATCTGGTCTTTGAATGACTCTATTTAGTAATGTTCCTGCTTTAAGCAACACTATGGATGATGTAAATACTGTGATTAACTAGAATCAATGTGTCGTATCAAAGTGTAGATGAACCTCATTCTTCTTGGTCTCCAGCTCCTCTTTCAGGGTCTGAACCTCCAATCTCAGCTTCCTTCCTCCTCTGCTCCTCCTCTCTCCTCCTCTGCTCCTCCTCTCTCCTCTGCTGCTTAGATCTGTTCTTCTTAGACTGAGAGAGAGGACAGAGACGATGTGAGGTATGATTTTAACAGGACCAAAGATACCACGCCATGACACATGTAAGAATAAAGACGCCTCAAGTCTGATTTTTCAGCATTTTAATTGAAATAAATTTTGATAAACATTAAGGTTTCAGTAAATCAATCTTCTCACAGTTGTGTCTTCTCCTGCAGTTCCAAAAACTTTTAAGTATTAAATATTCTTCAGGTGAACTCATATTTCTGATTAGTTTCTTCAGATTCTGTTTCTTGATGTCAATGTTTCACACGTTCTTACTCAGATCAAACTTTATCTTTTCTGCTCTTCTTCTCTTTACTCACATGTCTGGACTTCTTTTGCTCGTTATCCTGAACAAGCTGCACTGGCTCTGTTCCATCTGTCATGAGCTGCTCTCTCTCTCTGCCTTCAGTCACACACTGATCTTCAGTTCTGTTCGTTTTGAAGCGGATCTCCTTTTCTCCTTCAGTAGCTTCATCTGAGTAGCTTCTCTTGTTCTCTGTGTACAAACAAAGGAAGGAGAGTTAGAGAATAAAAGACATTGAGGTGGATTTCATGAAATAAAAGCAGATCAGACACTTGAGTCTAAAAGTAAATATAAAATGGGTTATAAAAATAAGACAAAGTTGGACTAATTGGAAATATGACTTGCTGATTGTGTTTTGTCTCCATCTCCACACCACAAAGAGAAGAAACTGAATCAACAGGATACAAACAGCCAAACTAAGAGCCAGACCAGTAATGATGGGAAACAGAGAATAACATTTATAGAAAACTGACGCTCATTTGAACACATTATGAATGAATGAATGGTTTCTACCTGGAACAGTGATGTGAGTCTCTCTGGTCTGGTTGGTGGTCCTCTGTTGGACTCTACAGGTGAAGCTGTTGCTGTGTGTCTTCTCCACAGTCACTCTGCTGCTGACAGTATAGAGGTGATCAGGACCTCTGACTGTCTCTGTAGGTCCAGCAGAGAGGAGGTTTCCCTCACCGTCCAGCCACAACACCTCAGGCTCTGGATACCAGCCTCTAGACTCACAGTCTAGCAGCACTCCTCCTCTGTCTCTGTCCATCCCTGATAACGTTATGACCGCTGAGGAAACAGCACCTGATGCAGAGCAAAAGGTCAAATGTGTGACAGTGCTGTTAATGGAAGATGAACTTAGAATTAGGTGATATAATATATTATAAATAAACTTGCATTGGCTTTTAGATTTAAAATATGTTAACCCCATGAACCCCATGTTCTTCCTTCGAAGGATTTGTGTTTTTTACTCACGAGTTCTATTCCAGAACGCCACACATGGACGAATCTGGGGTTCAGGTCCGGTCTGGCCCACTCCAACGTCAGACCAGACACATCGTCCGCAGGCTCCAGATGACATGGCACAATGATGTCATGGCCAAGGGTTGCTACTATTGGCTGAGATGAGCCAATCAGCTGAGACTGACCTGGAAATAGATAGATGCGTATTAATGTGCAGGAGGTGATGAGCTCGTACTAATACGTCACCTTCCCGGTAAATTAAAAGTGCCGTATCAGTCATAGCTGCAGTGTTTGACAAACATGAAGCAGAAAACACTCAGTCAGATAAAAGTTTTTCTACTTTTCTTTTTGCATTTTTTACCGAAAATGTAATAATACATGCATTACGTAATAACCAACACAAATGGACGTGTTCATCTGTGGACATGTTATTCATTTAACAATTGAGCTTAATTAACTCCCCAAAAATTAAACTAGACCTCTATGTGGTGCCCCCCTTCGTGTTCAATCTTCTTACAAATAAACACAAACTCACAGACCTCATGTCAAAAGCCGACCTGGAAAAATGAATTCAAGCTTTTATTTCTTGCATGGTGGACCACATGAAAGGTCTTTGACAGAGCTCCCCAAAGAGACCAACAATCAGCTTCAGCTCATTCAAAATGAAGCTGCTAGAGATCTTACAGGGACCAAACGGTCTCACCACATCACCACAGTGTGTAACTCACTACACTGGTGATAGTGATTTGTGACTGCATGTGTGTTACCTCTACACGAGTGTGTTAGGAGGAGATGGAAAACCAAAACACCGAGGGGTCTGATGGGAGACTGAAGGGACAGCCCGTCTGTCTGGTGAAGCATCCTGCTGCTCTGAAAATGAACCAGTGATACAGGGAATAAACACTTTTTGAATTGTTCAAATAAGTGACTCAACCATCCCTGGGCAGAGTACAAGAGGCACTCCATCTATAGTTAGTGTTTCATCTCCGTAAAGCTGGAGGACTTGTGAGAGGCTGAGGTATCCTGACTTTTAGTATCTCGTGCTCTTTTGAAGATAAAATGTCTCGTTATCTCATCTGTTTTGTGATTTATCGGACTTTGCTGATTTTAAAATGCAATGTTATATTATATTTATGGATTCCGTTTGTCACACCCTCTACGTTGTCTTCGATAAAAACACTTCCCTCTTAGAATTATTAAAATACTCACACGTGGACTTCTTTACATTTTTGTTGATATTTAATAAATCATGCTCTTTTCACCTTCACTTTATTAAACACAGACGGTAATGTAGCCATTTCCATGTTTGGTGCAACAACAGTTGTGTTGTATTGTAACTGTCTATGCCAGCAGGGTATCAGAAGTGAACAATTCATTTTAAAAGTGATTGATTCTGCTGGATTAACAATGACTCTACGTTTGAAATACATTTCACATGTGGATTCAATGTTTCCTCCGACACAAAGGCAATAAAATAACTTTATAACTCTGTAATAAACTATTGTTATGGTCTAAATGCACACCTGCCCTTATTCTAGAAGGTGATAATGTCTGTTAAAATAAAAGTTGAAACATACAGAATTGTTAGAAATTAACTAAGAAGACGACGTA